CCTCGGCCGGGCTGCGCTCCCCGCGGGCCTGCGCCGAGCCCGATAAATGGTATGCTATGACTAGAGGTATGATTACGTTATTATTATTAGTAATAATAAGAGTAAATGCTATTTAATTACGGGCGGCCGCATCCTGCTCCCGGCGCCGCCGCCCCGGCAGCTCCGTCCATGTGGCTCCGGAGCGCTTTACTTTCATTTCCAGCCCCCTCGGCCGGCCGCTCGCGGCAGCACCCACTGGAGGCACCGTCTCCCTGCAGCTCTTCCTCTCGGGTCCTAGAGAGCGCGGCTCTTCGGCTCCTCGCCTGGTAGCGCCCGGGGTGGGCGGCGCGGGCTGCGCACCTTGGGAGAAGGGGGTGGGGAGTGGGGAGCCTCCCTCCCCCGTGTAAAGCTCATGCCTGGAATTCACCTTTATTTTCTTTAAACGCTCCCTTCCACTTAGGTGGTTTTCTTTGGGCAGTTCTGCATTTCTGAGCTGATGCTGGACAAATCCAGAGCCTCCACCTTTCCCTAAGGGAGTAAAAAGCCCCGGATTCCCAAGTGCTTTCATGGATAGTTCCCCAAGACCCTGATTGCCTGTGCTCTCTGGATGAGGACCGGGACTTAGAGAGCGAGCAGAATCTCATTTGGCTAGGATTTTATGCACAGGAAGTTAAAGGGGGCGGGGGAGGGGATGAATGACACTTGTTAAAGAAGGACAGGCAGATTATATTCAAAGGGGGCTCTCCTGGTGGGTGTAAGGACCACTGCGATGGGCTCTAGCAATGGCGGAGAGATACTGGGCTAAACCCCTGTCACAGCAAGGGCAACTGGGAAGGAGCACGATGAGGGTCGATAAATAGAAAACTATCAAGAGGAAGCATGAAGAGTAAGGGATGTTTCTGTCTAAACCCACTTAACAAGATTCTTGATGAAGGTAGACCAGGGTGATCCAACATTACCTGGGGGAATAGTGGTGGAGGAGGAACCTGATTAGATACTGATAATGATCAGACGTGGAGGATGGATGATCAGCTAAACTAACTTGGCAGGATTCTTGCTAAAATTGGACAATGCAGAGATAAACACACGGAGTCCAAAAGTCTAGGCCTAGCTGGAAAGTTCAAGGAAGCTTCTTAAGTAGAATTTGGCCAAGGAGAGCAGGAATCTTGTCAGGAATCTTTCCAGGAGGGATTTGAGCCCACTTAAAGGACCCACTAGGTAAGGGGAGATGAAGCAGACAGATCAGTCAGTCAGATCAGATCAGCTATAAGCACCCAAGGCACTGCCTCAGAGCTGTAATGGTCAGGCTGGATTTGAATCCAGAGTTTCTGATTCCAAATAAGAGTTCATCCCACACAACCACTACTGGCCCTGTCAATTTCTGTAGGAACTACATCCTGGTGAGAGTTCTCTCAAATCTTCCTCTTTCCCCTTCTTCATTTTATGCACACAAGTGTTTATGTGTATGTTAATTTATTGCAGATCAGCTGTGAGCCTCACAGATTTTATCTTTACAACTGTTATCTCTTCCACCAACATTTGTGCCAGACATGATCTGAGGAACTAGGGATACAATGGTGGAACACATTTTTAAAAATTTATTTGTTTGTTTGTTTATTTATTTAGACTGTACAGGAGATTGAACCCAGGGCCTCTCATGCACTCTGGGCAAGTACTTTACCACTGCACTACATTCCCAGCCCAGGGACACATATTATAAAATATAAATAAACGGAGTGGTAGATGCTAGGATGGTCATGAACATGAGGGTGTGTTGACTTATTTAATTCTCACAAGAATCCCGGAACATTGGTTTTAACACGCCTATTTTACAGATGGGCAACAGAAACTCAGAGATTAACTGGCTTGTCCAAGGTGACAGTTGTGACTCTAGAGTCTCTGTTCTTTGCATGGCCTCTGACACTTCTTACCGCCTCTGCTTTAAGAGAGACTTGGAGAAGAAAATGCACCACACCTTTAGAAGTTCTTCAACTCTTTCCCCTGTGACTTCCTTCTTCCTCCTCACCACTGAGATTAACAATCAAAAAGAGGCTCTAGCAGGAAGAGAACATTCTCATAAACAAAAGCAGTGGCCTCAGACATCACTGCTGTTCATGTGCCACCTGGGATAGATTAAGGATCATGGGCTAAAGGCAGTGACAAGCTAAGCCTGGTGACTTTGAGTGGCTGGGTGATGTGGTAAGGGTGTCAACGAGGTGCCATTAAGAAGACCAAGTCCCTAGCTCTGTGACTTGCCTGCTGGGTGACCCCAAGCAATCCTTCAGTATCAGTTTCCTCATTTGTAAAATAAGAATAAGAACACTGAATCAATATAAAGTTTGTTTCAAGAATTTGCTGTTCAAGATTGGTTACAATGAAATAGTGCCTGGTAAGTATGTAGTACAATTACTAGTCCACAGTAAGGGCCAGATAGATGTCAGTTCCACACCCTCTGTGTAAATTTGCAGTGGAACTCTCTTGACAGCTTATCACATCAGCCACCATTGTTATTAGCACTCTCATTTTATAGATGGAAATGCTGAAGCCAGTTGGATTGCCACATCTTATCCCAAATGAATTAGCTGATAGAATGTGGAGATTCTTCAGTCCCATGCTCCTGGTGAAATACCACATATCATTAAAAGAGGAATGTCCATCATTTAAGGGAGATTCAGCTGAATGCCAGCCCCTCATATCTTCAGTATGGCATCAATTTGTTAAACTGTTCTGACTGCCAAAGATGGTAAAGGGGACCTTTATTACAAGACTCCAGTCAAAGATGGAGGTGCTTTGGAGAGGAGGGCCTGGCACCAGTAGGTTATTGCTGTAGTCTGGCTGGGCACAAAATAACCGAGCCGCCACCAGGCACTTGTAGGTTCAAACAGAAACTCCTTTATTGCCCGAACTCTCACTGGCCCTCCACCCGTACTCCTCACGAACTCTCCCCACCCTCCATGGGCTTCTCAAGAGAACTCAACGGGAAGTCCCCGAGGACTCAAAAGTAGCAGGTGCCACCCTATTGCCGGACAGCAGGGGTCTATATACAACTGAATACACAGCCTGTTTCAATCCAGCATCATCCAGTCACAGCAATTATACACAGCTTAACTTAATTATCATCATTTTAATGGCTCCCTGGCATCACCTCTCAACCACTCCTTCTGGCAATGCCAGGCACAATCCCGACTCGGCTGTGGCTCTCAATATGTTATTTTCTAGAAAGTTCTGATGTTGGACTGCAAGGCTCTGTGTCATACATTAAAGCTGAAGTGTCAGTAGCAGCTGCCACCTATTTATTATGAGCCAAAGACTTTGCATATGTTGATTCTCTTACCTTCTCAAAAGCCGGTAGGCAGGAATTGTTTTCAGGTGAGCAACAGACATAAAGCAGTTAAGTGGCCTGGTCAAGATCATGCATCTAAGAGGCAGAGGCGGGATTCAGTCCCAGACCTTTCACGTGTACGGCAGGACCATTGTACCATAATGTGGACATCTTAGATCTGGATTTGTCACTAGTTATCCCCAAGGACTTGTCATTGGAGTGGGTTGCTGGAGAATGGGAATCCAAGGCTCATGCTCCTGATCTCAAGGAACTGACAGGTGTATCATTCATGTGTCCCTTCTTCTGTGAGCACCTTCGGTACCTGCAGCAAAGTATCTTAACTTGAGGTTTAGGGAAGGGCCCTGAAGATGTATGCAGCATTTTAGGTTTAGGTTCCTTTTCTCTCATGTGTAAATTTGGGGTGCTGTGGACTGAATGTATCCCCCCAAATCTACATGTTAAAACCCTTATCCCAATGTGATGGTATTAGGAGATGGGACATTTGAGAGATAATTAGGTCATGAGGGCAGAGCCTTCATGAATGGGATTAGTGTCTTTTTAAGAAGAAACACCAGAGAGGGTTGAGGTTATGGCTCAGTGGTAGAGTGCTCCTCTAGCATGCATGAGGCACTGGGTTTGATCCTCAGCACCACATAAATATAAAATAAAGTGATTGTGTCTACCTAAAACTAAAAGATAAATATTTTTAAAAAAGAAGAAGAAACACCAGAGAGATGATCTCTATCTCTCTCTTTTTGCCAGGAGCATATACAGCAAGAAAATAGCCATCTGTAAATGAGGAAGGTAACCCTTTCCAAGCAGAACCTGACCATGCTGGCATCCCAATCTTGGAATTCCAGCCTTCAGATCCATGAGAAATAGGTTTATGCTGTTTCAGCCTCCCAGATTATGGCATTTGTAATAGCAGCCTGAACTAAAATGGGGTAACAAGAGAATAGCCACGTATTGCCTCATCATGAGGATACATTCTGAGAAATGTATTGCTGGGTGATTTTGTCATCATACAGGTATTATAGAATGTATTTCCACAAATCCAGATGGTTGCAGTTTACTATAGACTGAGTGTATGTGATGTGTGCTGTCACGTATGTAGTCTGTTGTTGATATGACTGTCCTCATCTCATAGGATCATGTGATGGTAATATTAAATGTCAACTTGACTGGGCTATGAGGTGCACTTAACAAATACTGGCAAACATTATTCTGGGGCTGGGTGCGGTGGTGCACACCTGTAATCCCAGCAGCTTCGGAGGCTGAGATGGGAAGATCACGAATGCAAAGCCAGCCTCAGCAACAGCAAGGCACTAAGCAACTCAGTGAGACCCTGTCTCTAAATAAAAAATACAAAATAAGACTGGGATAAGGCTCAGTAGTTGAGTACCCCTGAGTTCAATCCCTGGTTCCAAAAACAAACAAACAAACAAGAAAACATTATTCTGGGTAATTCCATGAGGGTGTTTTTTGGATGAGTATAACATTTAAATTGGTAGACTGAGTAAAGTTGATTGCCCTCTGTCAAGTGGGTGGACTTCATCCAGTCAGTCAGTGGGAGGTCTGAATAGAACAAAATGCTGGCTTTCCCATGAATAAGAAGGAATTCTTCCTCTTTGCCTTTGAGCTGGGACATTATATTTTTTTTCCTGCCTTGGACTCAAAGTGTAACATTAACTCTTCTTTGAGTTTACTCACCTTCAGACTGGAGGAAAACCATTAGCTCTCTTGAGTTCTTCAGTTTGCTGCATGTAGATTTTAGGATTTGTCAGGAGGCTGAGTGCAATTCGGAGATAGAGCACTTGCCTAGCATGTGTGAGGCACTGAGTTCAATCCTTAGCATGGCATAAAACATAAAATAAATAAATAAAATAAAGTCAGGCTGTCCATCTACAATTACAAAAAAAAAAAAAAGGATAAGGTCTTGTGAACCCATTCCTTACACAAATTTGTCTACCTATCCCATTGTTTCTGTTTCTCTGGAGAATCCTGACTAATA